TTATATTTTTCTCCCTACAAGCAAATTCCACCTTCCAATCGCCCTGGCCTTAAGCACCTTTTGCCTCACAATCTATCCTAAGAGTTGTTTTCATATAATTCCATACCTTCATTCTTTTTCTCTTTTTTTTTGAGATGGAGTCTTGCTCTGTCGCCCAGGCTGGAGTACAGTGGCGCGATCTCGGCTCACTGCAACCTCTGCCTCCCAGGTTCACGCCACTCTCCTGCCTCAGCCTCCTGAGTAGCTGGGACTACAGACGCCCGCCACCATGCCCAGCTAATTTTTTTGTATTTTTAGTAGAGACAGGGTTTCACCATGTTAGCCAGGATGGTCTCGATCTCCTGACCTCTTGATCCGCCTGCCTCAGCCTCCCAAAGTGTTGGGATTACAGGCACGAGCCACTGCGCCTGGCCCTCCTTCATTCTTTTTTAAGGCAACATAAATTTCCTTATTGATTGAGCTCCTGGTTTTCATTTCATGAATTTTTTATGCTAAGTTATTTGATGTTTAAAGATTTATGCAAAATATTCTCATTGTGGATTGCAAATCAGTATAAAAATATATCTCTTCAATTCCTGCAAAACTTTTGGTGAGTTTAACCTCATCTATATTAATGTCCCCAAATTTCTTTTTGACACATCTCTAAGTTTTCTTTTTGCTTTCCACCTTTCTCAGTCATTTTACTTTTGATACGTTTGTTATATAGCATGGAACTGAGTTTGTTTTTTAATATAATCCAGTAAGTTTTTTTTAAATATAGGTGAATTTACTTTACTTATATGTAGACTTGCACGCTTTGCCGTCTTTCATTTTATGGCAATTTTTGTTTTTGTTACAAATTTACTGTTTTCTTTCTCCCTCCCTTTACCTCCATGCTTACCACTCCTGTTTTTCTAAATATTTTGGATGTTTTATAGTTTAATTTTAACTCTTTTAGGGGTAAATTTTATAATTTTTTTTTTTTTTTTTTTTTTGAAGATGGATTTTCACTCTCATTGCCCAGGTTGGAGTGCAATGGCATGATCTTGGCTCCCCACAACCTCTGTCTCCCGGGTTCAAGCACTTCTCCTGCCTCAGCCTTCCGAGTAGCTGGGATTACAGGCATGCACCACCATGCCTGGCTAATTTTGTATTTTTAATAGAGATAGGGTTCCTCCATGTTGGTCAGGCTGGTCTCAAACTCCTGACCTCAGGTGATCCACCCACCTCAGCCTCCCAAAGTGCTAGAATTACAGGTGTGAGCCACCGCGTCTGGCCTATAATTTTCAACACTATACTTACTTACATGTATTTTTTGATTTTACAACTTTAAAGGTAAAGTTTGCTCATTTATACCTCCTTTGACCTCCCTATCCTCTGCCTGTCCCCCCGTCTTTTAGCTTTTTCTACTTGTTTTTTCTGTATGGAGGCCTACATGATTCATTCTTTTTCTTTAAAGTTCAGTACTATTGCAAACATACATCTCAGCATTGAACACTATATACAAAATTTTCCTAGGACTTGGTACACCCTTTTAAATTGCAGGTTCAAGCCAGGTGTGGTAGCATGTGCCTACAGTCCCAGCTACTCTAACGGCTGAGGTGGGAGATCACTTGAGCCCAGGAGTTTGAGGCTACAGTTAGCTACAATCACACCACTGCACTCTAGCCTGGGCAACAGAATGAGACTCCATGTCTAAAAATACATACATACATATATACAATTGTAAGTTCCATTCTTCCTTATATCTTTATTTTTCTATTATCTTCTTTAGAGGCAACAACAGATATCATTGTGTTGGATTTTCACTGTCAGTCCTCAAATTCCACCATTTTTTTTCTAATCACTGTCATCTCTTTCTTCTAATTGGTACTTTTTTTTTAAAATTTCATTTTGTTCTCCTATCCCCTAAATCACCCTTTTCATTTCATATTCTATCAATTTTTATTTCATATACTTCATGTCTTCTAAAGTTATTCAGAGTGTAAAACATTTAGAAAAAAATTTCTTATCTTCTAGAGTATGCTTTTACAGATTATATTTCCATCTTTCTTTTGCAAGCTATGTCTCCCACACTAACCCCTGCAAAGTTGCAGTGTTCTATTTCTACATCTTATGTATTGTTTTTGTGTGTGTGACAAAAAGTATGACATTAAATTAACCATCTTAGCCATTTTTAAGTGTACAGTTCAGTAGTGATAAGTATACTCACATTGTTGTGCAACAATCTCTCTTTCATCTTTTAACACTGAAACTCTGTATCTACTAAATACTAATTCTCTGTCCACCCTCTCACAGGCCTTGGTAATCACTGTTCTACTTTCTGTTTCTACGATTTCAGCCACTTTAGATATTTCATATTGAGGCAGGAAATTAAAGAAAAATAAAATTAAGAAGAAGGAGAAATAAGTTTTCCTGCATTAGGCTGACTTGTCCCTGAGGCAGCAACAGGCACAGCCCAGACCCAGGAAAAGTCTTGATAATATTATCTAATGTGCTCTGGAGACTCTCGCAGCACTCCCTCAACACAGGGAGAAGAAAAAAACAAATTTTCCTTTGTTTTATGGAATGAGTTTATAGATTCCTGTTCTCTCTAACTAGTGACTTCAAGTATTCTGTTTCATCTAAGAAGTACAATAAAGGTCATGAGAAGCCTGAGTAGGCCTGAACTACAGCTCCATGGGCACCACAGTGAAGGTTATGGGATAAGCCCGTGCCTAGGCAAACCTAGATAATGGACATCTAGGCTGCATAGCAACAGTTATGTGCAATTCTGAGTTTTGAACCTGTTACAATTTGATTAACTGTCTTTGTCCTGCCTCTGTATCCCTGCTTTCATGCCACTGTAAGCTTGCTTCAAGCTAGTCCACCCCCTTTTGTGAGGTGTGTATAAAAGCCAAGTGCTGTCTTTGTTCTGGGCCCCGTCTTTGGACGTGACTCTGCTGGGCCTGAGTGCACTCAATAAAAGATTCTCCTATTTAAACCTAAGGTCTCTCTCATCCTCCTAAATCCCACAACATTTGCAATAAACCATATAGTATTTATCTTTTTGTGACTGATTTATTTTGCTTAGTATAATGTTCTTGAGGTTCACCTACCTTGTATTATGTGATAGGATTTCCTTCTTTCTTAAGGCTACACAACACACTACTGTATGTATGTAACGTATTTTCTTTATTGACAAATAATTCCCATTTGTTAATACATTCATCTGTTGATGGACATGTGGGTTGCTTCCACCTTTTAACTATTATAAATAATGCTGCAATAAACACAGGTATACAGGTATCTTTTTGAAATCCTGTTTTGAATTCTTTAGGTTATATGCCCAGCAGTGGCAGTGGGATTGCTGGATCATATACTAATTCTTTTTCATTATTCTGAGGAACCTCCATACTATTTTCCATAATAGCAATACCATTTTACATTCCTACCAACAGTGAACATGGGTTCCAATTTCCTTGCATCCTTACGAACATTTGCTATTTTCTGTTTTTTTGATAGCGGTCATCCTAACAGGAGTGAGCGATAACTCACTGTGGTTTTGATTTGCATCTCTCTAGAGTGGGCATCTTTTTATATGTTTGGTATGGCATTTGTGTATCTTCTACTGTCTATTCAAGTCCTTTGCTCATTTTAAAATAAGTTATGTGTTTTTAAAAATAAGTTGTTTGGGTTTTTTTTTTGCTGTTGAGTTGTGTAAGTTCTTTATATATTCTGAATACTAATCCCTTATCAGATCTATGATTTGCAAATATTTTCTCCCATTCTGTAGAATGCCTATTCACACTCTTAATTGTTTACTTTGGCATGCAGAAGTTTTCAAGTTTGATGTAGTTTCATTGGTCTATTTTTGCTTTTGTTTTCTGTGTTTTTGGTGTCATATCTGAGAAATCACTGCCAAGTTCAATGTCCTGAAGGTTTCTCCTTATGTTTTCTTCTGGGAGTTTTAAGGTCTTACATGTATGTCGCCAACCCTTTTTGAGTTAACTTTCGTATATGGTATAAAGAAAGGGCCTACCTTTTTTCTCTTAAATGTGGATATCCAGTTTTCCCAACACCATTTGTTGAAGAGACTATCCTTTTCCCATTGTGTAGTCTTGGCTATTGTCAAAAAATCATTTATTTTCTATATTCTTGATGTAAGCAGTTGAATCTGGACTATTTCCAAAATCCAGAATGGGTAGATTAGTTCCTTGACTCTTTTCTCTCCTTACCTAGGCTGTTCCATATTCCTCTAAGAGGTAAGGCTTGACAGCTAGGTAGTAATGTCTTGTGTTCTACATGCTTTTATGTCAGAAAAAGGGGCCCATGGACAAACGTAAATAAATGTGATTTTATTGTAATTTTTAAAAAGTTTGGGCTGGCGCGGTGGCTCACGCCTGTAATCCCAGCACTCTGGGAGGCCGAGGTGGGTGGATCACGAGGTCAGGAGATCGAGACCATCCTGGTGAACATGGTGAAACCCCATCTTTACTGAAAATACAAAAAAATTAGCTGGGTGTAGTGGCGGGCGCCTGTAGTCCCAGCTTCTAGGGAGGCTAAGGCAGGAGAATGGCGTTAACCCGGGAGGCAGCGGGGCTTGCAGTGAGCGGGGATCACGCCACTGCACTCCAGCCTGGGCGACAGAACGAGACTCCGTCTCAAAAAAAAAAAAAAAAAAAAGTTTGTATTGATGGTCTCACTGTCTTTGCTATAGCCTTCTAGAATGGCTTTAAGGTTGTTTCTGTGTGGGGACTGAGACAAGATGCTTCACTTCTAAAACTATCAGCCTTAGGTATTTATTTATAATCCTGTTTCTAAGTTGCTAATATCTTTTCCAAAAAGTAACAATTACTTTACAAATCTATATATACAGCAACCTAATAGTAGCATCAAAGTACTTTACACAAGAAAGTTTTAAAAAAAGAAAAGGAATTTTTGTGTAATCATGAGGCTATATTCTCATCAGAACGAAATGGAAACACACTAACACTGACCCCCATATACACACACACTCACACACAACCCAATCCCATTACCTTCAATATTGATCTGTAGGGATTCTTTATTGCTTGTCCAGGCTTCCTCGGGAACTGTCCTCTTCCTATGGATCTCCTCTTTCTGTGTAATGGCTTTAGTGTCTGGCGAGTTCTTAATTTCTGGGTCTCCTACTTGAGCTGAGTGCTCTGCAGCAGCAGCAGCACTGGAATCTACGAGAGGGACATTAACACACTATACAGACAGGAACTGGACATAAAATATTTTTAAATGTCTCTCAAGTATGTATTATGTGAAAGGCTTTCTTAGTGATATTGAATAAAAAAGATGACTCAGAAATGTGTTTAGAAAATAATTGAAAATTGGGGCAAAAAATCACATACATAAACAGATATACCATAAGAAAGAGTCAGAAAAAGAGGTATCGGTATTCAAAGAAAGAAAAACTAATTGCAGGTGGGAGTACTACAGAACTCTAGACAATTGATTTTGGCATTAGAAGAGAGCTAAGGTGGGATACATATTGAGATGGAAAAAAAGGAGGTGACTATATAACAGAAGAATGGTGTCAGGAAAGTAACTTAACATCTAAGATACAGAGCAAGTATATAGCATTAGATTATATAATTTATAAGGAAAAGAGGTGAGAACTAGTGTTAGAAAGATGTTTGGGAGTGGATTCTACAGTTCTGGAAGACAGTGCTAAAAGAGTTTAGATTTTATCCTTACGGGCAATGAAAACTAAAGTTTTTGATTACAAGATTAACATGATCAAAACTGTTTTTGGAACATTCATTTAGTAATAGTAAAATGGGGTAAAATTCAGAAGTGTTGCCCAGAATACAATCTAACCTTTTTAAACAAGCAACACCTAAAGAAGAGAAGCAGCTAATTATGTTCTAAAATGTTTTAGTTTACAACTGTGGCGGAAACTATTAATACTATCTGTCCTCTAATATGCACTTTCCTTTTCCTCTAAACAGAACCCTAACTTTAGCTGGACACATTGTTATTAGAATAACAACTCAATTTCCCAGCTTCCCTGGTACATGTGACCATGTGTCTAAGTCTGGCCAATAGAATGCAAAAACAATGGTACATATAGCTTCTGAGAAGTATCCTTAAAGGAAGGAATGAGATTTTTCTTTTCCTTTCTTCCTGCTGGTTGCAATATGGGCTGATGGCTACAGCTTAAGAATGAAGGCCAAAAATGTCAGAGTAACAAGAGAGCAATAGCTTTGTTCCGATACTCTGGAGTACCAGGTGAACTCTGGATGCTTACCTCTGGATTTTTACAAAAGAGAGAAAGTTTTCTGTTTTCTTTAAGCCTATGTTATTTTGCTTTTGTTTTCCTCTCTCAGAGCCAAAACTAATCCTAATGTAAATACACTATGAGGGTTATTTAAATCAGCATAATCCCTCTGAAGTAAAGTAACTGATAGGGAGGAAGTAAACAAGCTGAATTCCTAAATAAAGGATCATGTACAAAAATGGTATTAGTGGGTCCATGTCTCACAGAATTGAGAGATTTTTATCATCACAGGTAAAAAGTCCATTAAATGAATTTCTGGAAATTAGATTAATTTGTTTACTATATCCAAAAGATCTCCAGAAATATCTCAAAGAACTTTAAATATGTCCATTTTACCTGCCAAAGTATATAATAAATACAGCTAAACATACTTTAACTATTTCATATATATGCAAGACAGAAGAGAGCTGAAGACAGCAAGAAGAAAATAGAGAATATATTTCTGTTTCTGTTCTTAAGAGAATAGTCTCATTTTAGAAGACCAGAAGAAAATTATATGCAGAAAATCCAGTTTAGCTACCTGCAGTATCTTTCTGCAAAGATTCGTTTTCTTTAGCCTGGGCAGCCTCAGTCACTGCCCTTGTACTGTGGATCTCTTTCTGTTTTTTGTCTGACAGGTTCTCATCCCCAGTGATTAGCACTTGAACTGAGGCATCTGGAATAATGACATCATTTGATTTCAGAAAAGGAAAGATAATAAACACAACAGACAAGTAATCCTCCCCCCAAATTACAAACAAACCCCCAAATTCATGTATATATTAGGAAAAAAGTACCTCTTAGGCTCCATCTGTGTAAAAACTGTGACATGAATTGAAAATTTTTTCGTATTTTACTGTGTAAAACAACAGTTTAAATAACACTCTACAGCCGGGCGCGGTGGCTCACACCTGTAATCCTAGCACTTTGGGAGGCTGAGGTGGGTGGAACGCTTGAGGTCAGGAGTTTGAGACCACCCTGGCCAACATGGTGAAACCCCAACTCTACTAAAAATACAAAAACTAGCAGGCGTTGTGGTGCACACCTGTAGTCCCAGCTACTCAGGAGGCTGATGCGGAGAATCACTTGAACCCAGGAAACGGAGGTTGCAGTGAGCCGAGATCGTGTCACTGCACTCCACCCTGGGCGACAGAGTGAGACTGTCTCAATAAAATAAAATAAAATAAAATAAAGTAAAATAAAATAAAATAAAATAAAATAAAATAAAAAACATTCTAAATAAAATCTGTTCCTTGATGGTTTGATGCAACAGTAAAAAAAGCAAAAAAAGGAAAGATCAGGTATGTTTTTTCAAAGGAAAAAAGATGTGAACAATGTTTTCAAGTTATTTGCCCTATTCAAAGTGTTTACCACTTATGGAGTCAATTTTTATATTTCATTTAATCCAAGAAAAACACTTTTATCATCTAGATTTTATATACAGCATTCTCATATAATTTTTTAAAAATTTCATGCAGTTATAGCCTTTTAAACTTATCTAATACTATTTCTCTTTTCCTTTCTGTTTTTCTTGATCATTTTTGATTTTTATCTGTAAGTATATTTTTCAACAAAGAAATCAGAAAGGGAATAGAGATTGCTAAAAATGCAAAGAACTAGTTAACTCTTGCTACCTCTTTTAAATTCACACATTTTTCTTACTTCTATTACTTTGATCCTCCTAATCTCTTTTATCTAAATGTCTTCTGAAATTTTTAGATCATTAAAAAATGTTTTAATGTTAAAAAAAAGTTTTAATGTTAATAAAATATTTCAGGCATACCAAAAGTATAGGCCACAAAATGAACACCGAAGCATTTACCATAGGGCTTAAGAAATATTACGAATATAATGTTCCTTGTGTAAGCTGTTCCCAATGATGCCATTCCCACTTCTCAGTAGCAGCCTTTATACCAAATTTAGAGTTTATCAATATCAAGGATGTTTTGTAATTCTTTACTACGTTGCATATATTAATAAACAATGTATAGCATTGTTTTGCAAGTCTTTAAACCTTATATGAAGGGTACAATACTGTCTGTACCTTTACGCACCATGCCTTTTTCACTCAATATTATGATTTTGAGATTTAGTCAATTAATGTATGTCTCTGATTCTCAATGTTATGTACTATTCTTTTGTATTAATATATACGAATATACCTCTGTTGATCAACTTAAGGCTATTTCCTATTTGAAAAGCACTGCAATGAACATTCCTGTGAAATGTCTTTGCAGGTAGCATGCATTATAAATATCTTCTCCCAGGCTGTTTCATGTCTTTTCATTGTTTGATATCGTTTATGCAAAAAAGTTTTCATTTTAATAATGGCATATTTATTATATTTTTCCTTTAGGGTAGGTGCTTCATGTGTCCTGTTTAAGAAATCTTCTATTATCACATGGTCATAAGGACAGACCATCTAAATTCTAAAAATGTAGTTATCCCATTTACTTTTAATATGCCTGGCATACTATACATTTCTGTTTAGTGTGCAGCAGTGATTTATCTGATTTTATTTTTTCCGATATATATTCACTGGTTCAAACTCTATTGAATAGTTCCTCTTCATCCTTTCTCCACAGATTGTTATGCTATCTCTGTGTATGTTAAGTTTCCACATTCATGGATATGTTTCTGGGTCACCATTCTGTTTCATTTTTCTTTGTTTATTCCTTTGCAAATGATGTCTTAAGCTACACATGTAATAAGTCTTGATGTGTGGTATGGCAAGATCCCTTATCTTATTCTTTAAATATACTTTTTTTGATTTTCCATAAATATTTTAGAATCAGCCTGTCAAGTTCCACAAAAAATCCTACTGGAATTCTGAGTAGCAATGCATTTAATTTAGAAATTAATTTGGTGACATCTTTATTATCATAATTGTATAATTTTCCAACTATTTAGGTCTTAATATATTTCAATGTAGTTTTATAATTTTCTCTTAAAATAGTTCTACATGCCCTTTTAGATTCATTTCTAAGTACCATATTGCTTTTTAAAAGATCTTTTTAATTGTACAGTGGAAAATATGGGGGAAAATGTGCACATATAGAGCTCAGTGAATTACAAAAACCAAGTGTATATAACCTTTTCCAGGTTAGGAAATAAAATCTGGCTAGAAACTTACATGCTCCCCTCATTCTTCCTTCCATCTCCCCCATGCTGAGGGTAACACCTGATTTTAAATATAACAAATTGGTTTTGAGTATTCTTCAACTTTTTATAAATGGAATAATATAGCACATACTCTTTTGTGACTTGCTTTCTTCTCTCAAGTTGTTTGCAAGATTCATTAAGTGGTGTCACATATATTTACCTTCACTTATCTCACTTGCTAATCAGTATTCAATAACGTTAGTATGCCACAATTTATCCATTCTACTGGATAAATACTTGGCATTTGGGTAGTTTCCAGTTTGGAGCTATTACAAACACTGCTGTGAAGAATATTTGTGTATGTTTCTCTTGGTGCTTGTATGCATCCCTATCTGTTGAGTATAGAGTTAGGAACAGAACAGCTATGTCATAGGTTCTGCTTTTGTGGAACTTAGTAGATAATGTCAAACTGCTTTTCAAAGTCATTATACCAATCCACACTCTCACAGCAGTGAATTAGTTCTGCTTGTTCTACTACATTCTTACCAATACGGTATTGTCTTTTTCATTTCAGCCAGACGTCTTAGTAGGTACGTGGAGCTATCTTACTGTGATTTCAATTTACATTTCCCTGTTGATTAATGAAGTGAAATATTTTGCACATGTTAATTGGCTGTTAGATATTCTCTTTCGTAAAGTATCTATCAAAGTCTTTTGCCCATTTTTCTATTGGGCTGAATTCCTTTTTCATATTGATTTGTAGGTATTCTTTTTATATTCTGGGTATAAGCCTTTTTGAGTCGGAGTCTCGCTCTGTCACTCAGGCTGAAGTATAGTGGCGCGATCTCGGCTCACTGCAAGCTCTGCCTCTTGGGTTCACACCATTCTCCTGTCTCAGCCTCCCGAGTAGCTGGGACTACAGGTGGCTGCTACCATGCCTGGCTAATTTTTTTTTTTTTTTTTTGTATTTTTGTATTTTTAGTAGAGACGGGGTTTCACCATGTTAGCCAGGATGGTCTCGATCTCCTGACCTCGTGATCCACCCGCCTCTTCCTCCCAAAGTGCTGGAATTACAGGCATGAGCCACTGCGCCCAGCCAGGTATGTCTTTTGTGGGACACAAGTATCACAAATACCTTCCTCACCCTGTGGCTTGCATTTTACTCTCTTATTTGTTGTTTATAAATATTTTTTAAATTTTATTTTATACATTTTTAATTATTAGGCAGTCTCCCGAACCAGAACAGGTTCAGAGACTCTTAGAACTTCTCATTTTCCTGTAATCCCAGCACTTTGAGAGGCCGAGGCCGGCAGATCACGAGGTCAGGAGATTGAGACCATCCTGGCTAACATGGTGAAACTCCGTCTCTACTAAAAATACAAAAAGAAAAAAACGAAATTAGCTGGGTGTGGTGGCAGGCACCTGTAGCCCCAGCTACTCCGGAGGCTGAGGCAGGAGAATGGCATGAACCCAGGAGGCAGAGCTTGCAGTGAGCAAAGATCATGCCACTGCACTCCAGCCTGGGCGGCAGATCAAGACTCCATCTCAAAAAAAGAAAAAAAAAAAAAGAATTTCTGATTTTAATGTGCCATATTCGTCAGTATTTTCTTTTATGGGTTTTTTTTGGTGGGGAGCGGGGGGTGGGATCCAGTTTAATGAATCTTTTCCTATCCCCAGATTAATACTCCTCCATTTTCTTGTAGATCTATCAATCATTCATCTATCTACGCCCTTTTATATTTAGACCTACAATCCATTTTGAAATCATTTTTATTTATAATGTGAGCAAGGAAGTCAATGTTCTTTTTTTTTTCCAATATGAATATCTTATTCTGCACCATTTTACCCCAAAAATAATTCTTACCCCACTATATTTAGTACCTTTAACATAAATCAGGTATTCATATACAGGTAAATTTGTTCCGGGAATATTTTGTTCTATGGTCAGTTTGTTCATCCTTGTGCCAATATCACACTGTCTTAATTACTTAAGCTTCAGCTTTATAATTACTACAGCTTTAGCTTTATAATAAGTTTTGATACCTGGTAGTGTAAATCCTTTAGATTTGTTCTTCAAGATTCCCTTGGCCATTCTTGGCATTCTGTATTTCCTTATCAATTTTAGAATAAGCTTGCTGGTTTCTGAGAAAAAAAAAAAACCTGCAGGGATTTTGATTGGATTTTTCTTATTTTTTAATATGTGTATTTAAGTGTGTAACTTTACCCCTAAATATCACTTTGGTTCTCTTCTAAAAAATTTTGATATTAAAATTTTGTTATCCCTCAGTTCTAAATATATTGTAATCTCTATTATGATTTATCTCTTTAACTTCTGAGTTATTTAGAATTACATTATATAATTTTCAAATAGATGAACGGTGTATTAGTTTCCTAGGGCTGCCATAACAAATTACTACTGAGCAGGTTAGACCAAAGAAATTTAATCTCTGACAGATCTGGAAGTTAAAGTCTGTAATCACAGTGTCAGCTGGGCCATGCTCCTTGAGAAGGCTCCAAGTGGGAATTCTTCCTTGTCTCTCCCAGCTTGTAATGGCCCATGGCATTCTCTGGCTTGTGACAGCAGAACTTCAATTTCTGCCTCTGTCCTCAATAGTCCTTGCTCCTCTTTTTATAAGGAAAATAGTCACTAGATTTAGGACTCATCTTAAATCCAGATGATTTAATCTTGAGATCTTTAATGACATCTGCAAAGACTATTTCTAAATAAGGTCACATTCTGAAGTTCCAGGTGGACATGAATTTTGGGAGAATACCACTCAATCTGTTATAGACAGATTTTTCTTTTATTTCATTATTCCATATTTTTATTGTTGAGTTCTAATTTAGCTACAGTGTGGTCAGTGAAGCTGGTCTGTCTGCACATCAATTCTTTGAAACCAATAAATTCATCAACTTTTCTGTGTTCTTTTAAAAATGGAAAATCATCTAATATAAGTCAAACTTCATTATTCAAATACTTTCTCTCTTTTTTTTTTTTTTGAGATAAGAGTCTCGCTCTGTTGCCCAGGCTGGAGTGCAGTGTCGTGATCTCAGCTCACTGCAAGCTCCACCTCCCAGGTTCACGGCATTCTCCTGCATCAGCCTCCTGAGTAGCTGGGACTACAGGTGCCCGCCACCACGCCCGGCTAATTTTTTTTTTTTTGTATTTTTAGTAGAGACGGGGTTTCACCATGTTAGCCAGGATGGTCTCGATCTCCTGACCTCGTGGTCCACCTGCCTTGGCCTCCCAAAGTGCTGGGATTACAGGTGTGAGCCACCGTGCCCAGCCCTACTTTCTCTCTTTACTTCCTGATCTTTTACATTTCTGAAATGGATTGTTGAATTTACCTATACGTTCCTGTAATTTTCCTGAATATGTTTGAGAATATACATATAAGCTCACAATTTTATCTTTCCTGGTATATTTGACCCTTTTATTACTATGAGATAAACTGTTGTATCTACCTTTAATTTTTTTTGTCCTGGAATTCTATTTTGTCTATATTAACACTAGCTTTTCTTTAGTCAATATTTGCCAAATGTACTTTTTTTCTTACTTTTTTGAGCTGAAGGACAATATAAATTCTGATTTAATAAAAATAATGTATATGTTTTAAAAGTCAAATAGTTTCATGAAGCTTATAAGAAAGTCAGCAGTTCCCTCTCCAGGGATCTCCAGATCCCCAATTTCTAAAGGCTACCATTTTCAACTCCTTTAGCCATTTATTCTAGGATCAATATCCTTATTTCCTAATAACATGCTTTATACTACCATATCATTTTATATTCCAGAAATTATCTATTGATTTCCTTCTAAGATCAATTACAATCTCATATCTTTCAGTTCTGGGATTTATTCTTAAACTATGTACTAAGATCAATTATGGATTTATCTCATTACAAAACCCTCCTACCCATACATATCTTTTCATGCTATCTTCTGAAAAGTTTTAGCCCTATATTAATGTTCAGTGTTTATATGTCACATAAATAATGGTCAGAGTGATTAAATCAATATTCAATTAAATCGATATTTAGTGTTTACATGATTGTTTACATAATTATTATTCACAGCTAAGCCAGCTAGTATACTGTAATTACATTTATTTTCTATTACAAACTTATGCTTTTCCTGAAGAGTTAGTAACTGCTTTGTTTTTGCATTTTCTGAGTTTCTAAGACTGAAAACCTCCTGTAAGTATAGTCAATCACATAAGGTATCCTATCAATTTGACTTTTTCCTTGCAGGCTTCAATCTGAATGGGTTCTAGGCCTTGTGTACCACCACCACAGTGAGAATTCGTTTCCCGTTTCCTGTGTTGGCCCCCTCCATTTCCTCAATCCCATGTTTTCTTTCTTTTCTTCTTTTTTAACTTAAATAAACTCCCTTGTTTTAGTGAAATAATTTTCTCTCAGAATTCTAAGGTATTATTCCTTTGGTTTCTAACTCTGTTTATCACTTTTGAGAAGTTTGATGCCAGTCTCATTTCCATTTCTTTACATGGAATGTACGTTTTCTTTTTGGAAGCTGTTAGAATCTCTTTTCAAATCAGTTTTAAAATGTCAAGGTCATGTGTCTTGGTGTATATATTTATGTACATGGTAGTCCCTTTTAGTATGAAAACTCACATCTTTCAGTTCTGAAATTTATTCCTATACTAGTCCTTTGGTTCTTTCTTTTTTGCCTTCTCTATTGTCTTTATAGAATACCTGCTTTGGATGTTGAAACTTTTGGGACAATCTTGAATTTTAAAAAATATTTTCCCGTCTCTTTATGTTCTATTTTTGAAGAGATTTTCTCACGTTTATATTTCACCCCTTTAACTGAGAATTTTACTTATGATATGATCTTCTATGAGCTCTTTTCGCTATTATATAGGTCTTTGTTCAGTTTCCCAGGCAGGCATTCTCTCCTCTATTCTTCTTCTTTAATTCTCTAAGGCAAGAGGTTCTCAGGCTAGGTTTCTCTCAAGGTGAAATGGCTACTAAGGACTAAGCCAGGAGGATGGCTTTTCCTTAGGATGTGAAATTTGTAAGTAGACCAACAGATGGGAGATTGTAGGGGTCCTCAGATAATTAAGACTGACTTTATTTCAAACATATCATCTTTACCAAGTGAAGCCTGGGAGTGAGGTAAAGCTGGTAAGTTCTTTGTGCAGACTTCAGACACAGTTCACTTCTTTCCTGCCAACTTTTCCACATCTCCCCTCACCTAAAGTATCTGACACTGGGATCTTAGGGTTATCTGTTTCAACCAAACTGCCACTAGTATATGGATAGTGGAAAACATGTAAGGGATTCCCTGGTGCATGAAAGTTTTCATTTATGAACTATATTTTGTAAAATTATTTCTTTTTATTTACTTGGCAGTCTCAATGTTAGCTGGTAGATATGCTTCTCTTGTCTTATTTCAAAAAGCATTTATAAAAAGACTTCACTGTGTTTTGAAGTAGAACAAAATTATCTAAAAAAATGTGTGCTTTAATAAGCAGACCTCATTTATTTTTCTCACAAAGGCATTGATGCTATCACATGAAGTCATTAACACTATACCAAAACTAGAACATAAAGCCACCCTACGTTTAAAAACTGCCCTGGGATCAGTAGCAACTATTTGGCTAATAGTTATACACAGGAATAAAAAAGTATAAATATAACAAACACAGGCAATTATACATACAGAATTTTCAGTGGCTACTGGAGTTTTCATTTAATAAATATTATCATCTCTCAGCTACAAAAGTATAACGTCGGGGTGCAGAAAAAGAAAGCTTTTATAAAACAGTGGGGGCCAGGCACGGCGGCTCATGCCTGTAATCCCAGCACTTTGGGAGGCTGAGGCAGGCAGATCATCTGAGGTCAGGAGTTCAAGACCAGCCTGGCCAACATGGTGAAACCCCACCTCTGCTAAAAATACAAAAAATTAGCTGGGTGTGGAGGCGGGCGCCTGTAATCCCAGCTACTCTGGAGGCTGAGGCAGGAGAATCACTTGAACCCGGGAGGTGGGGGTTGCAGTGAGCAGACATCGCACCATCACACTCTACCCTGGGCAACAAGATCGAAACTCCATTTCAAAAAAAAAAAAAAAGATTGAAACTCAAATACCCACAGTGACCAGACAGATAAGGTGGAAGAATGAAGCAGACTGAGTCTTACAGCTGTGGGGATGGAAGCAAACAAGAGAATGGATGTTCTGCCTGCAGGGGGACAGCCATGGCTCAGCTGCAGCTGATTACCACCATGAATGAATGCAAGCCAAAGGGCAGCCAGATTTTCTGATTTTTCAAGGGAAATAAAAAATCTTAGTTTTAAATGTTGGCAGAAAATTTAAAAAATTTTAAAACAACATAGGGGCTGGATGCAGTGGTTCGTGCCTGTAATCTCAGCACTTTGAGAGGCTGAGGCAGGTAGACAGCTTGAGGCCAGGAGTTCAAGACCAGCCCAGGCAACATAGCGAGACCCTCATCACTACAAAAAAAACCTCATCACTACAAAAAAATTATTAGTCAGGCATAGTGGCGTGTGCCTCTGGCCCCAGCTACTTGGAAGGCTGAGGTGGGAGGATCACTGGAGCCCAGGAGTTCAATGCTGCAGTGAGCTATAATTGCATCACTGCACTCCAGCCTGGGTGACAGAGTGAGACCCTGTCTTTAAAAAAATTTTTTTTTAAAAAATCATGTCAGCAACAGAATCCAGCCTATAAGACATTACTTTGTAATATCTGACAGAGATACACTAATGTGGCAATTTAATCAAGATTTTCTATGGATCTTAGTGTCTAAAACATACTTGATTGGGTATTATTTCATTTCAAAAGCTGTATCATATTTTATTCCCCATTGTGAAAATGAAATTTATAGTTTTCAAAAATCTCTGACGCATAATAAAGGATTTTATGAAATTTTACCTTCTTATATATGCTCAATATAATGGCAAGGAGAAAAGCTTGTATAACGAAACAGAAAAAAAGGATAAAGATTAGACAGTAATCTCACTTAGGAAGAAAAGGGGAGAAAATGCCACAAAGTTTACAAAGCCAATCCAGTTACCTGCATTTTCATTCCGCAAGGGCTTTTCTCCCACTGGCAAGGATGCCTTAGTCACTACCCTCTTACTGTAGATTCCTTCTTTATGTTTAATGTTAACAGTGGCGGAGAGATCATCATCTCTTGTGCCTAGCACCTGAGCTGGGAAGTCTGGAGCAACCGCATCATTGGATCCTAAAGAAAAATGGGGAAGTAATACAAAACACAAATAGTGAAATGAAATTGAGAAAGACTTTTTAAAAATTTGCCTCTCAGACCAGTTCTATGAAAAAAGCACTACAGGCCAGGCACGATGGCTCCTGCCTGTAATCCCAGCACTTTGGAAGGCAGAGGCGGGTGGAGTTCAAGACCAGCCTGGCCAAGATGGTGAAACCCCATCTCTACTAAAAATACAAAAATTAGCCAGGTGTGGTGGCAGGTGCGTGTGACCCCAGCTACTTGGGGGGCTGAGGCAGAAGAATCGCTTGAACCTGGGAGGCTGAGATTGCAGTGAGCAGAGATCGTGCCACTGTACTGCAGCTTGGGTGACAGAGTGAGACCTGGTCTCAAAAAAAAAAAAAAAACCAAACAAACAAAAAACAAGAAACAAACGAACAAAAAAACACTACAATGGGTAGGATAATCAGAAGGAAATGTCAGTCAAACTGAAGTTGTAAGCTATGTAATATAAATTCTAATAATACAAGGCAGAGATGCAAATTATATAAGAGAAGATATAAAATGGAGAATCAGTTTAGGAGAGAGAATATTTTCAGCTCACGATGGTTTTGGCGGAAGGAGAAAATGGATTGTACCTTGGAAAAAAGTAGTTTTTGACATAGAAAGGAAGGAAGAAAGGCATTTTAGGCAGAAGTTATAGCACAAGCAAAGACAAGAAGTATTTAAGAATGGCGGACACTTTATGGTCAGGCTGGATTGCAGAATACATTAAGGAGAGTGGTAGAAGGTATTTACAAATAGTTGTTTGGGACAAAATTCAGCAGTGCATGGGATCCCAAGCTGAAGAGTATAAACGTTATTGTATATGAAACGCAACATAATGGAAGATTTTTAAATGAAATAATAATATATTTAGCTATGTTTCCAGAAGATTAATCTGACAATACAAAAGACAAAACTGAAAGGAAAATGACAGATAAGTAAAAGACCTGAAAGTATTTAATTCTTTTAAAATATATTTCAATATTCCTACATTCCTTGATATAATAAATTAATCTACAAACCATGCCACATCTAACAGGCAAAAGAACATTTCTGGACATATAAAGGCTTATACTAATTTTCTGTGAGATGATTTTTCTTTCTAAGATCCTGTATTTCCTGAGCTCCTAGTATGTGTATGGCAATAAAAGCGGGGTAAGTACCTGTATCATTAGTACGGTGCACAATAAGCCATGAAGAGTTTTGCAGGACAGATTGCAAGGAAAACACCACCTTCTGGGCCAAACAGATTATACTGGGCTCCTCTCAACTTCTGTAAAATCACTTTCTCTTATCTGCCTCTTACCTCTCCGGAAACTTATTTTTTATCTTTTCTTCTACCAAATCTCTCAATGCTAGAGTTCCCCAAGGAGTCAGAACTGGCCTCTCTTCCCTTCCTAGGTAAACTTATCGACCACCAGGGTATATGCTGATGACCAACAAATAATGTACCATTGGCCAAGACCTTTCTTCTGAGCATCCGACTCCAGCATTCAGCGACACGGCTAGCTCTTACAGCACTTTTATGGAAATTAGAAAAATGTCTCTTCCTCAAATAAAAATGTTTAAGTTACTATATATTGTGGTACAACACAAACTACTGTAAATGGTGGTCATTCTCTTCACAAATTCTCCCAGGGAGTACACACCAGCAGCAGCATGCACACGCACAGTCTGCACCACCACCCCTTGTTCTCCAAGAGAGATGATCCCTCAAGTTCAGAGTTAGGTGAGGAACAATTATGTCCCTGAGAGCAGTGGGTGAATGAGCAAGAGAATCAACCTCAGAGGAGGTGAGAGGCAGCTGAGAGAGTGCAGCTACACATGTGTGCGTGTCAGTGAATGTAAATATACTTATTTTCCTGTACCTGTGCGTAGCTACAGTATGTGCGAGTATAGATTTATGTTTGGGGCAGCACAAGAGTTAACACTGCTGCTCCAGAACTCTAACTAAAGATCTGGAATATTCATGCCCATCTGTGTGCTTTAATAAAAGTATATATTTATAATGGGAACAGTGCCCCTTATAGGTGGCACTATTACCTTAACATGTGTAAATTAACTCTGCCTACATTCGATTGTAGACCCAACATCTCTATGTGGATGTATAACAGGAATCACATTTTTAACATGTCCAAAGCAGACATTTTGATCATCTTCCCCAAATCTGCTTTTTCCTCAATCTCCACCTCAGTAAATGACACCTCTATTCACCTAGTTGCTCACTCCAGACATTTTTTTCACACTCTTCTCCCTCACTCTCCATACTCTTATTACCAAATCTAGGAGAAACTATTTCTAAAAGGAAGTTGACTGTCCATTTCTCCCTATCTATAGATAACACTGTGATACTGATGCTACCATCTCTGGTACTGTCTACAGCAACAGCCTTCTAACTAACTGGTGTCTCTACTTGCACTTTAACCCACCCTACCATGGTTCTCTGCCTTCCCATCTATAAACCATTTCTCCATATAGTGGCAAGAATAAACTTTACAAGTGTAAATCAAACCATAATTGCGGTAGTACTAGAATAAAATCCAAACACTTTAATACAGTTGATAAGATCCTGCATGATCTTGAACCTCCCTGTCTTCAACCATATCTACCCATCACTATGCTCTACCCTGTTAAATACAATTTATGGGAGTCCATTGTTTTAGACTGAGCTCCTGCACTAGACCCCAACAGACCAAACCAAAATGTAGTCACTTGTACTAAATGCCATACAATCCAACTGAAACTTTAAGGAAGAAGGAAAGTTCCACAATGGACCAGAGTTTTCTAAAAACGAGACATCCACAGCAACTAACTGAAAAAGGGGCCAGTCACCCTGAGCTGGCGTAACAAGGAACTTATCTCTGCTTTAATCTTTACCAGGAAAGTAACCTGATGTTAATCAATATGCTTTTTTTGGTATTACCGATGATCCACCACTTACAATGGAGTTACGTCCTGGTAAGTCCATCATAGGTTGAAAATATTGTTAGTCAAAAATGTATTTAATGCCCCTAACCTATCATAGCTTAGCCCAGCCTACTTTAAACATACTCAGAACACTTACAATAGCTTACATGTAGGCAAAATCATCTAACACAAAGCCTATTTTATAATACAGTGTCAAATAGTTCATATAGTTTATTAAATGCCATACTGAAGTATGGTTTCTACTAAATGTGTATCACTTCCATACCATCATAAAGTCAAAAAACAGTTAAGTGGAACCACTGTAAATTGGGAACTGTCTGTATTATGTTTCCTTGTTCTGGTCTGGCTACGTTATCAGAACCAATTGCTCTCCCATGCCCAGTGCACCTTTTTCTATATTATAGAATGAGATGTTGCCTGATTCATGAATTACTACAAAAACCAATTAGATCTTCAAATTTATTGAAATTTCAACCCATGCTGCCTTCTTTCCATTTGTCACATGCATCAAGCTCTTTTCTGCTTCATGGGCTTTCCTAATCTTGTTCCCTCTCGCCAGAACATTCTCACACTCCACTCTTTGCCTACCTAATTCATCCTCATCCTCTAGAGTTCAGCTTAAAAGTTTCTTCCTGGAAAAGACCTTCAAAAGTTCGTAAAACAAAACTGGGTCTACTTGTTTATCTTGGAACTCTTCTTTATTTTCTTAGCATTTATCACTTGTAATTATGTACTTATTTATGGTCGAGTATCTATCATCCAATGTGAACATAAACTCCATCATAGTTTTTTTTGAGCAATACTGAAATTGTAACACCTACCACAGTATATCTGTCTGGAACACAGTAACATCTTTAATACCTATTGTTTGAATAAACAAATGAACATGAGCTGACAGCCTCCTATCATTTTAAAAAAAAAAATTCAACCTGATCGTTGTACAAAATTCAGGAAAGTATGAAGGAAACACTAAAAGAAAACCCAACTAAATCTGGGTTATATATCCTACTAAGTGAACATATACAAGGATCATACCATATACAGTCTCATTACTATTTTTTCACTAAAGTAGAGATTTTAAACGGAATTTAGGGTTTAAAGTCAGCATATGAGGTGAAAACCTTGCCATAGAGGGTCAAAATCACCCTTAGGAAGGCATATGTTGAAACTGACATCGTGCCTGCTCAAGAAACCCACCAGAGTCCATTTTTGCCTCCAGGCTTGCAACTTATTGCTGCGCCTGAATCTGAGCACCTGATGAAGTACCTGACATTGTACCAAAAAGACATTTCTTCAAACTCTAGAATCATACCCAGACAAGCAAGGTAAGATGCTTACACTATAAAAGGCAAACGAGGACTACAATGAACTTTGAGAATGAAGTTTTCCATCTTTCATTACATATTCTTCCTTAGTCATACGTTCATAAAGGGTAGAGTGCATGCACAAAACACCTGTACTTTTAAAATTCTCTTCTTTCTTGTTAAGTATATTTATTGGAACTTGCTTAAGTTAAATACATGTATGAGACAATATCAATGTATGCTAAAATTATTTATCATAGCTAAAGACATCTCACTGAATTCCACTCATCTGATTTAATTGTTTATGCTATCTTAAAGTTCCCTATGTTTCTTGTTTTGTTACTTTGCTAATTTCATGTACTCAACACTGATTTGGAAGATAGATATCTACTTTTAAAACTCAATTAAGTTTTTTTGGTAACTTCTTAAGTTTTTTTAACTGTGGTAAAATATACATAAAATGTAACCATGACCGGATGCAGTGGCTCATGCCTGTATTCCCAGGACTTTGGGAGGCTGAGACAGGAAGATCACTTGAGGTCAGGAGTTCGAGACCAACCTGGCCAACATGATGAAACCCCGTCTCTGCTAAAAATACAAAAATTAGCTGGGTGTGGTAGCGGGTGCCTATAATCGCAGCTACTCAGGAGGCTAAGGCAGGAGAACTGCTTGAATCTAGGAGGCAGAGGCTGCAGTGAGCTGAGACTGTGCCACTGTACTCCAGCCTGGGTGACAAAGCAAGACTCTGTCTCAAAAAAACCAAAAACCAAAAACCAAAAAAACAAAAAACCCACAAAAAAATAACCATTTTTAAGCGTACAGTTCAGTGGCATTAAGTACATTCACACTGTTATACAACCATCACCATCATCTACCTCCAGAACTTATTCATCTTCCCAGACTTAAACTCTGTCCCCATTAAATAGTAACTTCCCAGTCCCCCTACCCCCAGCCCCTGGTAAACACAGTTCACTTTGTGTCTCTATGAAGCTGACTTTTCTAGGTACCTCATATAAGCAGACTGGCTTATTTCAACTGGCCTAATGTCTTCAGAGTTCATCCATGTTGTAGCATGTATCAGAATTTCATTCCTCTTTAAGGCTGAATAATACTCCATGACACATATATGTCACATTTTGTTATCCATTCATAGATCAATAGACATTTGGGTTGTTTCCACCTCTTGGCCATTGTGAATAATGCTGTTATGAACATGGGCATACAAATAGCTCTTCAAGATCCTACTTTCACTTTTTGGGGTATATATTTAAAAGTGGAATTACTGGATCATACTATAATTCTATGTTTAATTTTTTGAGGAACAGCCACAATATTTTGTATAATGGCTATACCATTTTACATTCCACCAGCAATAAGCAGTGGTTCCAATTTCTCCACATCCCCGACAACACTGATAATTTCCCTTTATTTGCTTGTTTTTTAAAATAACAGTGATTCCAATGGGTGTGAAGGGGTATCTTACTACGGTTTTGATTGGCATTTCCCTCATGATTAATGATGTAGAGAAGATTTTCATGTGCTTATTGGCTATTTGCACATCTTCCTTGAAGAAATGTTCATCAAATTCTGTGCCCATTTATCAATCAGATTGTTTGGGTTATTGTTGTTGAGTTGTAAGAGTTCTTTACATATTTTAGATATTAATCCCTCATCAGATAAATGATTTGCAAATATTTTCTCCTGTGAGTCACCTTTTCATTCTGTTGACTGGATTTTGTATACAAAAGTTCTGAATTTTGATAAAGTCTCACATATATATTTTTCTTTTGTTGCCTTTGTGTTTATTTTTGTTTTTGTTCTTTGAGACATGGTCTCACTCTGTTGGCCAGAGTAGAGTGCAGTAGTGTAATCATAGTTCATTGCAGCCTTAAACTCCAGGGTTCAAGTGATACTCACGTCTCAGCCTTCCAAGTAGCTGAGACTACAAGCATATGCCATCATGCCTGGCTAATTTTTAATTTTTTGTAGAGACAGGGTCTTGCTACATTGCCCAGGCTGATCTCAAACTCCTGGGTTTAGGCAATCCTCCCATCTCGGCCTCCCAAAGTGCTGGCATTACAGGCATGATCCACCGCACCTGGCCTGGACATTTAAATAATATAATGCAGCAACTCTGGAAATCAGATTCTATTTCCATTCCAAGGTTTGGTATTGTTGCTTTATGTTGTTTTAATAACTTCTCTAAACTAATTCTGTAAAGTCTATATTCTCTGTTATATATGGCCATTGAAGTTACTACTCAGTTAGTTTAGTGATCAGCTAATGCCTGAACAGAAATTTCCTTAAATGCCTAGAACCAATAAATCTCCCAGCCTTTATCAAATGGCTCCATGCATATGTTGGGATGTACCTTCAACACTAACCTAGGCAGCTGCCAACTCTACCTTAGCCTTCCCTTTTCTTTTTGTACAGACCCTCCTCAAGGTCAGCCAGAGATAAGACCTAGTGCCTTGGGTCTTTCCCAAGCATACACAGGCCTATGCATGTATGGGGTCTCACAGAGTCTTAGGAATATGTCAGAGCCTTTCAAAGAATCTATCAACATCTTATCCTCAAGTTTTCCTTTTAAGCTTTTCAGTTAGTTTACTGTTTACCTCAACTGTTAGTCCTCACCTCAGCCACTATGATATTAAAATACTTGTCTGTAAATGTTTTTGATAAACATCTTTCCCTCCCTTTCACCAGAGGCCTTTAGCACTGGATGGCTCCCAGTCAGGTCAAGTAAAGGTAAGCCTTTGAGAGGAATCTTCCATGGAACCACTAGACACATCAAATTTTAACAATTCTTTGGGAAAGAAGTTTTAAAAGAGGCCAGCTCCATTTTGCATCCTCTGGTCTTGGAAAAGAAAGCTATATTTCTTAAGTCTATCACTGAGCTGAGGTACTGGGAATGGGACTAGGACAAGTTAAAATGCCAACGCTTACTGTTCTTAGTGGGATTTGGCCATTTTTCTTGAATAAATACTCCCTGGGTTGCCATTACGACTGGTTTATTTGCAGACATTTATCTCTTTCTTTGGATGGCTATTTCCTTTGCCCTTGTTTTTTGTCGCCCTTGTTGTTTGGATCTTATGAGTTCTATTATTTACTTATTCTCAACTGAAGAACAATTATTTGGCCCAAATATTTTCTAACAATGATGTATGTCTTGCTCCTGGCCCCAAACTCTAATTGGCTCCTCTCATATCTATAGATGCACAACATATTCATAGAAAATGGCCAGGAATTAGAACAATTCCTAGGCTTTCATCCAGTGTAGGTCTACTGGTCTAAGAAAGGATTGTTTTCTATTTCCAACTTCCTCACTCTCAGAATAGATGAAGAACATGAAAAAACAATCTCAAGTGTATATGGCAACTAGATCTCTTTTTGTCTTACTGATGCATACAGTACTTTATTACAGAAAATGTATGTCTCAGGATATGGGGTGCCAGTCCTGAGTCATTTTCTTCTCCCATCACCTACACTATTCAATCTTTAAGTTAATCTCTCCAACCAGATGGAAGTGTTAGTGATGTCTATGGATAGCAGGACACAGGAGGCCTCAGAACTGGGCGACAGAGCAAGACTCCGTCTCAAAAAAAAAAAAAAAAAAAAAAAAAAGAAAGTACTGGCACATCTGACCAGGTTTCTACTGTTTACAGACATTCTGTCTTCTGAACTGTAAGTAAGTGGGATAGAAGATTTTCCTACCTACAATTAATTAAGTGAACTTGTTTTCTTTCTGGTAGCCGTTAACAGTGTTTTTAAAACCATAGCCTTGCAAGGAGTAAACATTTCATTTATGGCTATAAACTTAACAATTAATCTTAACTTTTGGTGAGTATTTTTGTGGTCCTTTTTTTTTTTTCAATGCTATCATTGTGAGAAATTAGGCGAGGTTATATCAGAAGCTTTAATGCAGTTACTATCAGAAGCTAGTTTGGTTCTCTTTCAGACAAAAGTAACAAAAATGTTTGCCTAAGACCAGGAACAACTTCTCCTTTCTTTGTAATTTCTACACATATATTGATATTTATAGATAATCATGGAAAAAACAATTTGTCTAAAGTAAACCAAGTCATCTCCTGTGGACAACTCAAAACACTGTCCCACCAATCAAAACGCTACACCACACCAACTCTGCACCCTTAACTTAAAATCTTCTATAAGAAATATTTACCTAGTGCCTCCACAGGGTACTATTCATTTCCTAACTCTGCAGCTCCTCTGTAGTGGATTCACAGAGATGCTGCAGGATATTTTAAAATTCTAGGGAAAGGACAGTGATAAACTACTAGCTCAAGGTCAAAGTGTCAACATCAGATAGTGTTATGTTCCTTTCAATGCTGTTGTGCCTTGGCAAAAGCTGGATTTTTGGCAGCTGCTGTAATAAAAAGCAGAAAATAAGAGAGGGTCCAACCTCATCTCATGGTTTGAGAAGCTGCATAGTGTCCAACAGCTACACACATGTCATTAGTAAGTAATCGTGGTTATTTATGAACAAATTCTTTTTTCAAAAACCAAAACCAAAAATAAATAACAAATTTGTTAAATTAGTTGTTAGATCAAAACAATTAGTATTTATGTCCTAATTCCTTAGTTGCTATTTGAAAAAAATAATTGCTTATTATACATAAAGCGGAGAAAATAAATCAATGAAACACTAAGGGTGCTGTGAACCAAGAAAGCTTAGAAACTTTGCCCTAGATAGAGCCCACTAACCCAAATAATGATCCATACAATTTCCTTCATCAAATATTTATAAATGCCTATGTGTATATAATATATCTGATCAAATAACTCATCTATCTGAACCAGAGATCAATGTATGAAAAGTTCCATATTTCACTGAAAAATTAAAGAGCACTGGATTTTTGTCACTACAGAATCAACTAGCCAATACACAAATAAAATTTCAAATAATAAAACTTTGAATAATTTCTGCATAATACCTGAATGGGAGCTTTCAACGGTGGTATCTGATTTGGAATCCGGAGATGGAGGAATTTGTCTTAATTGTGGAACATAATACATCTTCGTACTACCAGAAGGCTTATATGGCAATAATAAAGGCTGACCTAAGGAGGTAAAAATCAGAACAATTAATAAGAAAAACATTTATTAATTCACTGAACAAATATGGAATGCCTTCTATGTTTCAGGCAGTGCTCATGACTTTTGGAATTTATGAGTGAACAAAGAGAAATGTATTTCTGCCTTCAAGAAGAATGAGAATTCTAGAGGAGGAAAATATACAGTAAATAATTAACATACTAAATGAGTAAATTATCTAGCATTTTAATAAATTATAAGTGATACAGAGAAAATACAGAAATGCTGAGGGTAATTAGGAATACAGGAGAAATTGAGGTTTAAATGCAGGGGAAACAGTTTAAGTAGGATGGTAGGAATAGGTTTCATTGAGATGACTTTTTAGCAATCCATTCCATATATAAATGACTCTAACTAAAAAACATCTTATCTTACATTGAACCGTAACCTGGTCATAATCAAGCCCTTATACTGGTCTTATTTTGCTTCCAGAGTCACAGACAGTAAGTCTAATTCTCATCTGTGTGACAGGGCTTCAAAACATAGTTTCCACTGCAAGAGTATGAATTTTCAATATTAAGAAAATACATAAAAGTAAAAATTACAAGGTGCTACCACTCAAGGATAATTATTATTAACATTTTAATGTATATCTTACCCATCTTTTCCTGTTGTTTGTTTACAAAGTGTCTGCATATAGTACGCGTAATTTGAAATTCAGCTTTTCTATTTTCTATTTAAAATAAAAATATTCATTTTACTTCCTATTCTTCACATTTGTATGGTTAAACCACAGATTAAACATAGTCAACTCTTAGCCTAATGTTGAAAATGCAGGTTGTGTTAAAATGTTCAATTATAAAGAATTCTGTGAATAAAGATTTTCCCGTTTATACTTATTCTTCCCCATCACCCATCTGAGGTAAATTCTTTTTACAAAGTGAAAAATTACACCCTTCGTGAAGTTTTTAAAAAGGTACTGACTGCTAAATTGCTTATTAATATGTCTGTGACAATTTACTCTTCCTCCAACAGCACATGTAGAGTCATTAAGAAACGATTAATTGCTAATAGGGGTAAAAGGAATCTCATTTTAAAAATATGCCCTCATCTTACTATTATGGACTTTTTTTTTTCTATATAATAGTTTTTCTTTCATGATTGGTAGAAACTGTCAAATATGCCCTCGTGTCCAACTTCCCTCCCTCCTTACATCTATACATCTATATATACTTCCAATCTCCCTCACAGCCATGTGTGAACGTGTGGGTAACTTTGATCAGTCCGTGGGAAGAGTGCGAGAATGTGTGCAACTTCTAGGCATTCCCGTAAAGTTATCCCATTAAAGCCCCCCACTTCCTAGATACTGCAGATCATGATAGCGGTAGCAGTTACTCTAGAACCAGAAACGGAAGTCACACTTCCAGAGATGGAAGGATGACAGAGCCACCAGACATGCAACTCAGCTATCTGCTCTAGACTACTTACCTGTAATTTAGGGTTTCTGTGATAAAATAGTTATACCATAACCTAAAGTAATAAGAAACGCAATTCCCAGGAAAGTCTTGGTGGTATGCTGGAATCAGAACCAGCTGACTTGGGGGTATGCAACCTAGTAAGACACCAGCCGAAATGGCCAAGGGAAACACTTGTGCCACTCCATACCCAAACCCAGACAGCACAGCTTGCAGTTCCAGGAGAGGCTCCTTCCTTTCACTTGGGAAGACGGAAGATTAAACAGGCCTTTGTCTTGCAACCTGGATACCAGCTCAGCCACAGTATGATAGAGATGCCAGGCAGAGTCCTGAGGCCTCCATTCCATGACCTAGCTCCTGGACAACATTTCTAGACACACCCTGGGCCAGAAAGGAACCTGCTGCCTTGAAGGACCCAGTCCTGGTAGGATTCATCACCTGCTGACTAAAGAATACCTGGGTCCTGAATAGTCAGCAGTGGTAGCCAGGCAGTATCACCTGGGTAAAACTCAGAGATGTGCTGGCCTCAGGTGTGACCCAGCAATTTCCCAGCAATGGTGGCTACGAGGAGAGACTCCCTTTGCTTGAGAAAAGGAGAGGGAAGATTAAATAGGACTTTGTTTTGCAGCTTAGGTGCCAGCTCAGCCACAGAGGAGTAGAGTACAAAGTAGGCTCCAGGAGTTCCTGATTCCAGGTGTTGGCTTGTGGATGTCATTTCCGGACCTGCCCTGGGCCAGAAGGGAGCCCACAGCCCTGAGGGGAGAGTCCTAGGCCTAGAAGCATTCACCCAAGCTGACAAAAGAGCCCTTGGGCTTTGAATGAATATCAGTGGTAGGCAGCCAGTACTCATCACAAGCCTGGGGCAGTGGTGGCCACGGGGAGTGAATTCTGTTTGTGGGAAAAAGAGGAAAGAAGGGGAAGAACTTTTTGTCTTGTGGCATAGATGTCAGTTCAGCCACAGCAGAATAAAGCACTAAGGTTTCTGACTTCAGGTCATGGCTCCAAGACAGCAATTCTGGACCTGCCTAGGGCCAAGGGGAAATCGCCACCCTGAAGGAAAGCACACAAGACTGCCTGGCTTTGCCACCTGCTGATTGCAGAGCCCCAGGGCCTTGAACAAACATAGGCAGTATCCAGGAAGTGGTTCCTGTAGACCTCAGGCGTGACCCAGTGTTTGCTGGCTTCAGGTCTGACCCAGAACAGTCCCACTGGTGGTGGCCACAGGGGTGGTTGTGTCACACCAGCTCCAAGCAGCTCAGCACAGAGAGAGAGACTCCATTCCTTTGGGAGAAAGTAAAGGAAGAAAACAAGAGTCTCTACCTGGTAATCCAGAGAATTATTCTGGATCTTATTAAAAACTTCTGATATGGTTTGGCTCTGAGTATCCAACCAAATCTCATCTCAAATTGTAATCCCCATATGTGGAGGCAGAGACCTGGTGGGACGTGATTAGATTATGGGTGTGGTTCCCCCACCTTGTTCTCATGATAGTGAGGGAGTTCTCATAAGATGTTGATGGTTTAAAAGTGACAGTTTCCCCTGAGTTTTTTCTCCTGCTGCCATGTAAGATGTGTCTTGCTCCCCCTTCACCTTCCGCCATGACTGTTAAGTTTCCTGAGGCCTCCCCAGTCATGTGGAACTGTGAGTCAATTAAACCTCTTTTACTTGTAAATTACCCAGTCTCAGGTAGTATCTTTAAAGCAGTGTGAAAATGAATACAAAGAACTGGTGCCAGAAGTGGGGCACTGCTATGAAGATAACCTGAATATGTGGAAGCAACTTGGGAACCGGGTAACAGGCAGAGATTGGAACAGTTTGGAGGGCTTAAGAGGAAGACAGGAAGACGTAGGAAAGTCTGGAACATCCTAGAGGCTTACTGAATGACTTTGACCAAAATGCTGACAGTGACATGGACAATGAAGTCCAGGTTGAGGTCATCTCAGATGGAGATGAGAAATTTGTTGGGAAATGGCATAAAGGTCACTTTTGCTATGCATTAGCAAAGAGACTGGCAGCATTTTGCCCCTATCCTGGAGATCTATGGAACTCTGAACTTGAAAGAGATGATTTACAGTATCGGGCGGGAGAAATTTCTAAACAGCAAAGCATTCAAGAGGTGACCTGGCTTATTCTGAAAGCATTCAGTTACGTACTTTCACAAAGAGAGGGTTTGAAATTGGAACTTATGTTTAAAAGGGAAGCAGAGTATAAAAGTTTGGGAAATTTGCAGCCTGACTATGCACTAGAAAAGAAAAACCCATTCAAGGAATTCAAGCTGGCTGCAGAAATTTGCATAAGTAACGAGGAGCCAAATGTTAGTAGCCAAGACAATGGGGAAAATGTCTCCAGGGCATGTCACAGATCTTAATGGGAGTCCCTTCCATCCCAGGCCTGGAGGCCTAGGAGGGAAAAATGGTATTGTGGGCTAGGCCCAGGGCCTAGCTGCTCTGTGCAGCCTTGGGACTTGGTGCCCTGTGTCCCAGCTGCTCCAGCTCCATCTGTGGCTAAAAGGACAACAGTTCGGGACATTGCTTTAGAGGGTGCAAGCCCCAAGCTTTGGCAGTTTCACGTGGTGTTGGGCCTACAGGTGCACAGAAGACAAGAGTTGAGCTTTGGGAGCCTCCACCTAGATTTCAGAGGATGTATGAATGCCTGGATGTCCAGGAAGAAGTCTGCTGCAGGGGCAGAGGCCTCACGGAGAACCTCTACTAGGGCAATGCAGACTGGTAACATGGGTTGGAGCCCCATTAACAGTCCCTACTTGGGTATAGCCTAGTGGAGCTGTGAGAAGAGGGCCATCATCCTCTAGACCTCAGAATCCACCAACAGCTTGCATTGTGTACCTAGAAAAGCTGCAGGCACTAAACACCAGCTCATGACAGTAGCTGTGGGAACTGTACCCTGCAAAACCTCAGGGGTGGAGCTGCCCAAGCCCATGGGAGCCAACTCCTTGCATCAGCATGCCCTGGATGTATGACATGGAGTCGAAGGAAATTTTGGAGCTTTAAGATTTAATGACTGCCCAGCCAGGTTTCAAACTTGCATGGGGCCTGTAACCCCTTTGTTTTAGCCAACTTCTCCCATTTGGAATGGGAACATTTATCCAATGCCTGTACCCCCACTGTATCTTGGAACTAACTTGTTTTTTATTTTACAGGTTCACAGGCAGAAGGGACCTACCTGCCTTGTCTAAGATGAGACTTTGGACTTATTTTGGGTTAATGCTGGAATGAGTTGACTCTGGGGGACTATTGGGAAGGCATGATTGGTTTTTAAATGTGAAAAGGACATGAGATTTGGGAGGGGCCGGAGTGGAATAATATGGTTTGGCTCTGTGTCCCTAGTCAAATCTCATCTCAAATTGTAATCCCCACATGTTGAGGGAGGGACCTGGTGGGATGTCATTGGATCATGGGAGCAGTTTCTCTCATGCTGTTCTTGTGATAGTGAGGGAGCACTCATGAGATCTTGATGGTTTTAACGTGGCAGTTATCCCCGAGCTTCCTCTCTCTCTCCCGCCACCATGTAAGATGTGCCTTGCTCTCCCTTCA